GGCAAAGGTGGGGCTGCCGACGGTATTGGAGTGGCGGCGATAGTGCGGAGAAAGGAGCGGGCTACCTCGGATATGATGAGACCGCCATGGCTTTGGTGCAGGGGGCTGGGGAAGATGGTCGGAGAAATTAGCGGTGGTGTGGCGGGCGGCAATGGAAGGGCTGCGGCAACAATTGGGACTAGGTCATGGAGGAGCTGGCGGCAACAATTGGGACTAGGTCAGGGCTTGGAGAGGGAGGGCATTTTGGGGAAATTACACTCATAGTCAACCCTTCAAAAAAATGAAGAAAAGTCCAAATGGGAAGTTTTTTCCGAGGCGGAGGGAGTAATAGTTTCTTTTAATCTTTTAGCACTCTTAAGTGTTGCATTTTTTGCATTAAATTGAAATAAATTTTGTAACAAATATGTTTGAATTTCTTTAAAAATAAGTTTGCTACTATAAACTTTAAATCACTTCTTTTACGTCAAATCTATTTAGAACTTGTTTTTGTTTAATTTCATACCTTTTAATTAGTTAAGTTCAATGTGCACAATTTGTTTAGAAATACATGGAGCAGTTTTCTAACTTTTTTTTATCCTAAGTTGCTATTCAAGTGAAGGTAGTCTTAAGAAAATTCTTTTTTCTTTTCTAAATTTTGGTTATTTACATATTATCAAGATGCTGAAATAAATAAATATATATACTAGAACACCATCTTAGGTTGGCATGGGTGGCACGACACCTTTGTCCCCTTAAGTAACATATCCCAAAAGGAAGTGATGTTGTGTATGGAGAAAACCTGAGTTGGAAGAGCAAACCCCGTTTTGGGCCGTACGAATCTCGTCCGTAACCAGTTAAAAAAAAAGAATAACCAACGCCATTGAACCCGAACAAATTAAAAAGAAAGAAAAATGGCAATAAATGGCTAGGTAAAATAAAAAAAATTAAAAAATGAATAAAAATATTGTTTGAGCACTCGAGTTGAAACCCTCGGAATACTTCGTTTATTTAGGTCCCGGACTATCTGGAATGGGTCTGGGATAGCCTGGTTGAGACTCGCTACACGGGTCAACTCAAACAATTAAAATTATATATTTGATTGAAAGAAAGTTTCCAGATTTTGGAAAAGAAAATAAATTTTATTGAGGTTTTCTTTACTTGATTGTTTCTTAGGATTTCTAACCACTTTTTGCTGCTCTATTTATTTCTTATAAATTGTTCTTGTTAGAATAAGTGACCAACGCTAGAGGGGGGGTGAATAGCGTTTGATCGTAGAAATCGCATGAATAAAAAATTAAGAACGTGAAAGGCAAAGAGCGTAGAAAGCGTAAAGGGAGCACACCAAGATTTATACTTGTTCACCACAACGTGTGGCTAATCCAGTCTCCCGAGAGACTCTCTCGAGCTACACTACTATCTTGTTAAGCTTACGGGTGCTTAACAAACCGTTACAACTTGAGAACTCGAGTCCCACGAGCCTCAATAACACTTGCTCGGAGATACCGCACTCCAAGACTTCAACACGAAGGAAAATACTTTTCCTTCGTACAACCAAGGGAAACAGGCTTCCCTTAACGTGTATACAACACTAAGACACTCAAGAACAAGACTCTCCTTAAGAGTGGATATTGAGTAAAATATATACGCTCAAGAACAACTCAAACTTCACACAAATTGGCTCTAGAAAGCTATGGAAACTAATGTTGTTCGGATGCAATGATAATATGAGTAATGTGAAGTGAATTGATCTGCAAAGCAGACCCAAACACCCCTTTTTATAGTGCCAGAATAGGCTCCAACGGACCAATACATTAAAGGGGTGATTGGCTTGATTTATGGGAGTGATTAAAATGTGGATCTGCAGGATATTGGCTTTCCCAGCGATGTATGGACTTACCCATCGCTAGTAAGCCAATTTTTCTTCAGTTTTGAAACCAACGGTCACCTACCCATCGATGTGTAAATGCTTCTCATCGCTCGGTGGGAGGTTGACTTTCAAACAAGGAAAGAATGAGCCTTAAATGACTCACAACAGTCATGCCTAACCAGCGATGGGTATGCCCTCCCATCGCTGGGTTCCCATCAATGGGTAAAGGTTCCCATCGCTGGGTAAGAGCATTCTGCCTTGTGATAATGTTGGACCAAGGCTTGAACAGCGATGGGTAGAACTTCCCATCGCTGTTTAGCATAGTTCTGGAAATCATTTGGGCTGAAGGCTGCTTACCCATCGATGGGTAATATCTCCCATCGCTGGGTGGCATGATTCTGGAATTCCGAGATCACTTACCCATGGATGGGTGATATCTACCATCGCTGGGTAGATGGCTAGCCCAAAACCATGGCTTAGCTGACCGGCGCTAAAACCCGACCGAAAAATGCAAAGTTCTCCAAAGTAAAAAATAAGTATATAAAACACTTATTTAATGTATTGTGATGTCAAAACAAGCTTTGTAAGTTGAAAACCACGTCGTTAAGGTAAAAACCATGGTTGACCAAGTCAATGCCGTACACAGGTGGTTTTTACCAAAAGACAAAACCGAAAGGTGGTTTTCATGATGTTTTGATTGGAGAACCAATTAAATGCATTCAAAAACAATTCCCACACAAAAGGACTCGAAAACCACTTCATTTAAGTAAAAACCACGGCTAGCCAAGTTTATGCCGTTTCGCATGGTTTTTATCAAACGATAAAAAACGAAAGGTGGTTTTTGAAGTGTTTTTATGGAAAACTATTTAAATGTGCCCAGAAGTAAAAACCAATCATAAAAATTTGAAAACCACTTGGTTGGTTGGGACGCCAAAAACCAACACCGAAAACCGAATGCCGAACGCCGGTTTCTGAAAGCCGAACGCCGGATGGCTTGATTTTTGGTTTGGGTGAACACCAAGTGTTTTTAATGTCTTAAACAAGTTTGAAATTTTTTTTTATGATATTATGAATGCAAAAATAGAATTTAGCCTAAAGAGCCAAGGCGTGAGGTTTGGGTCGGTCTTCATCACAATTGTGACCGACTCAACAATACTAAGACTACGGTCTTCGTTCTTGGTCTTCTTTTAGCTCTTGTTCTTATCTTCGTTCTTCGCCTTTTATATTCAATGACTTGTCTCGTTCTCGGCGGTTTGTCATTATCAAAACCTGTCATAAAGACGAACACGGCTTTAGTACGAAAACGTGATAAACCCGTGTTTCAACAGTTCTCAATGACCTTAGTTAATTCAAAGTTTTGACATAAAATAAAAATGTTTTCTACTTAGCTTTGAAGTAAATGAATTGTTTTAAAATTTAAAGTAGCAAATTTATTTTAAAAGTGTTTATTCTATTTGGTACATGGTTAATTTCTAGTTAATGTTTTATGCATCACTTTAGATTGTTTTGAAATTGAGAAATTATTTTGAGTTCTGGTTTTGATAAAAGGAAAAATGATTTTCAATATTTAATTTGCACGAGGGCGTGCAAAAGGCTAAGTGTGAGAGTATTTGTTGAGTCACAAAACATCATGTTTTATAATCCCATTTCTTAGTATTTTTAAGATGTTTTATATGCATTTTATATTTAAATAAACATATTTTGTTATATTTAGCACTTTAGGCTATTTTTTATATTTCATACATAAAATGCATGATTTTAAGTATTTTTATAAATGACAATTATTTTGGAAGTATTATTTTACTTGTCACAATTTTTAGATATATTTTGGAGTACAAAAATGTTGAAAAAAATAAAGATGGATTTTTGGAGCTCAAAAGCAAAGGAAGAAAAGGATTGGGCCAAGCCCAATCATCATTCAATGATAAAGCAAGTGACAAAGAAGATCAAAACAAAAAAAAAACACGGAAGAAATGGAGAAGTCCTTCGCCAACAGGAGAAGATTAGCGGAAGAAACAGATCTACTCCTATTCAATTAAAGCTCTTCAAAACTTTNGCTAGGTCCGGCGATGGTTCCGACGGCGACACTAGACACGGCAGCTATGGAGGGAGGCAGTGGCTAAACTCTGGCGTCAGTATTTGGGGTCCGTGCACAGTACTTACGAAGAAGAACACTTTGGGACGCATTTCTTTCTTTTCACTTAATTTTTGCAATTAGGATATCAAATTTGTTTATTTTCCAATTCATGAATTTGATTCTCTAATGCTCCGTACTTGAATATTAAATATGTTTTTTTAAATCTTGTTTTTGTGTTGAATGTTTAAGTTATATTCTAAGTGTTGAATTGTTTGAATGTTGATGTTGAATTGTCCAAATATGATTTATTAATTTATTATTGTCTCTAAAATTATAAAACCTTCTTAGGCCGAATCGTTTGACAAAAAGATTGAATCTTTGTTTGTTGAATTAATTTGACTTTGAAGAGATTTTAGATCTACGCTACTGTTAAAATATAAACTCAAAAAGGTGTTCTGAGAATTATTTTTCATCATATTTTACTTAAATTGGACCAAATTAGGAAAGCGTGCCTAATCCAGTTTAAATTGATATTCTTTTAAATTTCAAAGTGCTTTAAATAGTCGAACTTTTCTAGAAACTAAGTGTCACTTGATTAGTACTTGCTGCCTCGTTAAGTGGTTTTTGCTAATCAAGGTTCTCGAACTGATTTTGTTAAATAATTGTAGTGTTACTGCAAAGTTGTTATGGTGATGTTTTCCACAAATCTTAATGCGCTATTCTTAGTAGTAACTTAAGAGTTGGTCTTTAGGTTGCTAAGGATAGTAGGGTTTAGAGTTAGGGTTGGTTGAATGAGAGAATAAGGAAGAGCCGTTGGTGGACCTCTTCTTCAGCCTAACCCTGAGTTTAATTAGCAACTTAGTTTCAGGCTCAAGACATAATGAATTAAGGAATCATATCTGTTCAATTTATTTTCTATTAAAAATTATAATTATTTTCAAAATGGCTTAAGTTAATTATTATTGTCTACGTATTTATAAAGTTTAAATGTGTGATTGTTTTTGTGTGTGTGTTTCTCCCTGAGTTTAAATCTGAGTTTGAGTTGCTGTTGTGGTTCCATCTCGTATCTCTTATCTGTTATCCTTATCTTAATTTCTGCATTTTTATTTTTTTTAGAATCATCATTCAAACCCCCCATATCCTTCGTTTTAGTTATTCGATTTTAGTTAGTTTTTATTCAATAAAAGTGACAAGTGAACTGATTTTCATATATTAAAAAGTATGTTTTAATCACGTACTGATGGGTAATAAGCCATTGATTCCACCCGGTAATAAAAGTGACAAGTGAACTGATTTTGGGATCGACTCTTACTTGCCCTATCTATATGTTTTAAAGAAATTTAATTAATAAATGGGGTTAAGAGTTAAGGAAAATAATAAATTAATTTGTAGGTGCTACGACACGTCTATCAGGTACTGATGGGTAATAAGCCATTGATTCCACCCGGTAGGTTCGTAACCGACCGGGAGGAACCTAAAACTAATGCTCAATGGCTTGGTCATCCCGGTAAGTCTGACCGGTTGGGTATGAGAAGATTCAGAATCAGGAACATGGCTTCGTCTCACAAGGCATGCGTACTGATCCAGACTGACTGGCTAGAAGAGCAGAGACGTGCTTGACGTGCTTAGACATTATTATAAATAGGACTAAAAGTTTCATTTGTGAGGCATGCTTTAATTAATCCACACGGCTTATACTTTGTATGTAACGCCCCAAAACATACCCTAGAATTTTCAATAAATGAATAATCAATTAATCAAATTGTTTTGATTGATAATAATAATAATAATAATAATAATAATAATAATAATAATAATAATAATAATAATAATAATAATAATAATAATAATAATAATAATAATAATAATATTTTTTTGGGCTTTGGGCCGAGATGAAATATGTTTTAATATCCAATATCAAATCTGGATAAGTCTCATAGAGATAAATCCAATATGTTGACTTATTGTGTGATCTTAATTGGGAACCTGAGTACAGACCCAAATCAAGGATAAGTAAAGAATTTTGTTTATGATATGAACTTTGAAATGATTTATTGAAATAAATCATGAGAATAAATAATATGAATGAAATGTAAGAACCTTTTTGAGTAAAGGTCAAATAAATCAATTTTGACTTTGTCAAAGTCAACCATCCAAAAATATGATGTCGGAAAAAGTATTACAAATAAATATAAAAGTTATATTGTTAGACAGAGTTTAACTGTCCGATCGCAACGGTGCAAACGGATTTCAATTTAGAGAAAGTTGGACCAAAAAGTGTTCACCGACTGGGACCAATTTAGTCCCAATCAGGGACTTGCATTTGGAATTGTGAAAATTTCTACAAGCTCAATTCTCAAATTTTATATACTAGTGTTTTGACTCGTGCAACGCACGGGTTCAGACGATTTTTTTTACTCAGGTAAATTTTTCATCTTTTTTATTGATATACCATAAATTTTTGTTAATTGAAATGCATGCATATATAAATTGAAAAGAGCATATAAATGTATAAATGAAATCTATATCTTTTGAAATACTTCAGGGTAAACTACATTTTTGGTGAAATTGCAAGAGTTACCGTTGTCGTCTAATGCTAACACTTTCAATCTCGTTTTTGCTTTCACTCGTGAACCTTCAACATAAAGTTGACCGTGAGTGAATACTAATTTGCTCAAAAATAATCCAACAACTCACAATGTTTGCCCTTGACTCTTATTGAGAGTCATGGCAAAACATAAAGATATTGGAAATTGTCTTCTTTGAAACTTAAACGATAATCCATGATCAGATGGTACCAAATTCATTCTTGGTATGTAAACTTTCTCCCCGGCATTGTTTTCGGATACAACGATTGCACCGATAACGTTTCTCCGCAACTCTTCAATGATTAACCTTGTACCATTATACAACCCTGATGTTTGATCAATGTTTCTCAATAACATGATCAGTACTCCTTTCTTCAAAACTATTTTGTGATTTGGAATTCCAGAACATTTGATATCGTTCAAAAACTCAGTCGTTATCCAATCACCATCTATACTGACATCTGAATCTGCTTGATATGAAGAATCTGAACTCAAATATTCCTTTTCATCACCAGGAATAAGAGACAAAACAAATTCATTGATCATTTCAACAACTTCAAGTGTGGGTGCTAATAGCGCTTTATCCATAAAGAAAGTATAATCTTTCATATTTTCTAATAAATCTGGATATGTGAATTCCACTATAGTCTTAAGCGGAGAGCTCGAGTTAAGAAACAAGGATTCCAGTGGTATTTCAATATCACGAATTCCATAATTAATCACGCCAAGCTGTCCATCTCTAATTTTTATTATCCAGTCCGAAAAAGTTTGTGTGTCATTATCTTCATAGGTGGATGGAGATAAATGCAACCTCATATTTCTTGTTAATGTGAAAACCTTACAAAATGACCACAAACTCGAGGAATTAATTATAGCATCTACAATTTCCTTTCTTGAAGCTCTTGGCAAAACTAGAAGAATTTTACGGAAGTCACCCCCAAGCACAACTATTTTTCCCCCAATCGGTTCATTTGCAGCATTTTTATTAGAAAACCGCATAATATCTCTCAACGTGCAATCTAATGCATCAAAAGCAAATTTATTCATCATACACGCTTCATCCAATGTTATTACACTCGCTTGTTAGATTAATTCTGCTTTGGGGCTTCCTTGTTTGATGGAGCACGTTGAAGATTCAGTTAGTGCCAAAGGGATCGAGAATCTTGAATGTGTTGTCATACCACCAAGTGATAACAATGCTGCAATTCCACTAGATGCAACATTTAAAACAATCTTGCCTTTCGATCTAAGCGCAGGAGACAATGATTTCCAAAGGAATGTTTTTCCAGTTCCCCCATAACCATACAGAAAATAGAAACCTCATCTACCATCTGTCACAACTTGCATTATCTCATCGTATATTTTCCTTTGATAATCATTCATCGTTGATGAATAATGCTGAAAGGTAACCACGGTTCGGAGGGCAGCAAAAATACAATTTTTTAATCTCCCAATAGTGATTACTAGCCCAAGAACACGTACTAAAACTATAGCTAAAGATAGAAACTTATACCTTCTCCGGTATGAACGTGAAGTCGAGCAAAGATGTTGAAGGAGCAAACGTAGCCGTTCAAGTGTCCGGCCTCTAACTTTTACACACGAACAATCTCCGGAGTCTACCTTAACACTTGTGCTAGCAAGTGTTAAAGTAGTATATTAAATATAAAGATTATTTTAGGGATAATATAAATCTTGTATATTAAATAGTAGAAAATATATCAATAATATTTTAAATAAAATATTATATCAATTTCCTACAACCAAAATAATAATCTTGGAACTCAAAATGTTTTTCCCTCTTCCTCTTGAATTTTCGCCGAAGCTCTCCACCTCCTTTGAAAAAAAAGAAAACATCAATTTTATATATCATTAAAGGAATAATGTACAAAGCTTCTCCAATTGCAAAAGTCCAAAAGTGCAAAGTTTATAATGAAGTGTAGTGGGAGACAAAGCCCCCACACACCTAAAATCATGCATGGTACGAAAAACAAGGGGGGACGAATTTTATTCTTTTCCTCTCAAATGTTCAAAGTGTATTTTATTTGACATCAATAATTTTTATAATATAAAATAAAATACCCTAAACATTTTAAACAAGTATATAAAATATACTTTTAAAATAGTTTTTGTCAAAATAATTATTTTCATAATTAAAATGACACTCCAAAATAAAATGTACACAATATAATATATAATGTAATATATACATATATATGTGTGTACACGATAATTACGCACGTACATATAAATTATGTACACACACTTTAAATATGTGAGTGGCGTGTGTAAAGTATGTGTATATATATATATATATATATATATATATATATATATTATATTGAACATTTTATTTTACTATTTTACAATATACATATTAAATATTATCCCTTCTTATAATCTTACTCTTTAAATTGTCCAAAGTGTGTGACTCATATAGGCACTTATAAAACTGGCCACAGTATTGATTCTACACCAATACTATAAGTAATAAGCGGTATCTAGCAACACATTATTACCCCTAGATTATATGTTGAGGAATTTGCTCCGTCAAAACCTTTTTACGACTAAGACTTTGTATAACGTAGATCCTTTTGTCCCAATGTCTTAACTTAGTGCAAGGGATATATAAAATAGCCAACTTGTAGCCATTAAGTTATTACTGATTAACAAGTCTGACTGATGAGAACAGATGTCTAAACTCATTTCAGCATGGCCATACATTTCCTCAGTCATACTTATCAGTGGGCCCCTACAAGACATTATTCTGCTTAAGTAGCAGTGACAAATTCTTTGTACGTAATCTACGTCTTCGAATACGTGCAGCGGCATGCCCAATACAAAGCCTGTGTATCATCCTTATTTCATACGGCTTAGGACAATGAATCAAAGCATACGGGTTCACGCATTCAAAGAACGTAATCCTTCAAGTCTAAGGATCGTTATACCAATAGTCGCATTAAGGACACTTAGAGCATAGACTAAAAGTCTAGGCAATGCCCTTAAGGTGAGTCAGGTCTGGCATCCTATTATAAACGATAATATCTGCCTGAGAGTAGATGCGAACACTCCGTCATTGACCAAGAGACTATGTCAAGCATCTAACTCTCACTAGTCTCACACGCACTAACGATATCCCACTCTCGTTAATGCTTCGACTATAGACCGTTTAGAGTTATACTAAGTGACAAGATGTTAGTCTCAACATCAGAAGACTCATTTTGATAAACATCTTATAATATAATTCTAGGAATGCAAATAATAGTTTACATTAGCATGAGATGTTTGTAAACTTATTACATCTGCCTTTACATGATAGAAAATATCTAAGATATTACAACAGCAGTTGGCCATAAGGGCACCAACTCCAACAAAACAGTACATAATTCTATGTTAAACTTAACAATATCTGTTGGTTTGTTTTTTAAGGAATAATAATTAGTTTAAAAATAATCCAATTTAGATTTTCAATTTTTCTACTCATATTTATGAGAAAAAGAAGTGTTAAATTGAGAATTTTATCATGAGAATTTCGGGTGAAGCAGAAATAATTTCTGAAGATGGTTGGAAATGGAAATTGGGCCCGAATTGGACCAAGCCGCGGAAAAGCCCACAAGAGAAGGCCCGAGGCGTCCAACCCATGGACGCTTTGCGGGTTGGACACTTTGCGTCCAGTCCTATTTAAGCAGCGCCCCTCATCCATTTTCTGCACGACATTTTTCGCCTTCTTCACCCTCAAAGTCCGAGTTTTACCTCTTTTAGCACTAGATTTCGAATTTTACTTTAATATTTTAGTTTAGTATCATTTTTCAGAGTTTTCACGGAGCAATTTGTAGCCCAAACCTCTAGTTCTTCAGATATGTTGAAGTAAGTTTTCTATTTTTATTGATCAATTGAATTATATCTTCCTATTATGAATGCATGATGAGATCTTTTGTTATGAGTGAAAGGTAACCATGCAAGGATAGGCAGCGGAAATTAAAAATTTTAACATCCTAACATGATTATCTTGCCCAGAATCACGTACTAAAACTTATAGTAGTAAGAAATATGTACCTTTCTCCGTAAGCGGTAAAAACGAAGAAGTCGGAGGAAGAGCGTTGAAAGTGCAAACGTAACCGTTCAAGCGTTCGGTCTCCAACTTTGACACACGAACAACGCCGGAGTCTACCACAATCTTTATGCTAGTAAAGATTCTAGTAGTATAAAATATAAAGATTAAAATTGGGATAATAATAATCTTGTATATTTCTATAGAAAATATTTCCAATAATATTTAAAAATATTATAGATATTTTCTATACACAAAATGATATATGTGGAACCAAAATAATATTTTCTCTTTCTAAAAATTATGGTGGCCGAATGACACACTACACCTTGAATAAGTGGAATGGTGTGTAGTATATTTAAGGAGAAAAAGTGATTATTAATTTGACTTTGTCATTAACAAAATCACAAAATAGTTAGCTTCACTCAATTATCAATCAAGGAAATTTTTGTTCCTTTAAAAGATATCATGGCTGAAAAATCATGTGAGAAGGATTTGTAAAATTCTTCTCCACTTAAATGTTCAAAGTGTATTTTATTTGACACCAAAAATTAATATAAAAATTAATTTTAAATCAAATAAAATACCCATATCATTTTTTAAACAAGTATACAAATATACTTTAAATAGTTTATGTCAAAATAATTATTTTCATAATTAAAATGACAAACCAAAATAAAATATTCAACATATAATATATATATATATATATATATTTCGGTATTTATATATATAAATATATCACCGAATGTTTTACATATATAATATTATATTCCAAAATATTTTATTTTACTATTTTACAAATATACAAATTACTTATTATCCCATTGTTTAATCCTACTCCTTAAATTGTTCAAAATGTGTGACCCGTATAGGCACTTATAAAGCTGGCCACAGTATTGGCTCTGCACCAATACTATAAGCAATAAGCGGTATCTAGCAACACATTATTGCCCCCAGATTATAAGTTAAGACGTTTGCACCGTCAAAACCTTTCCACGACT